ACATGGAAAGACATCGCATGTCTTTGATCCAAGAAAAGAAGATACACAATTCAAAGAGTCACTATACTACACAACTAATGAGTCCATGGCGGTAACCACGACTTCTATGAAGGCCTCCACGAGACAAAAGTTGAAAGAGATCGAGGCGCATCAACAAATGCAAGAAGTGAAAAATCAATCTACCTTGAAGGAGTTACAAGCAAAAGAGTATCCCTTTCCGGACTCTGATGTTCCTGTGATTCTTGATGAGCTGCTAACCAAGAAAGTCATTGCACTCCCAGAGTCAAAGTGACCCAAAGAATCCAATAAAGTTGATGATCCTATGTATTGCAAATTCCACCGCATCATAGGTCATCACACCACAAAATGCTTCATTCTGAAGGAAAAGATCATGACATTGGTACGAGAGGGAAATATCATCATTGACAATGGTGAGACAGCTGAGACAAATCATGCTAGTGTCAAACTTGATTATGATTCAATTTCAGAAGTTCTACGTCCTGTGGCGTCGCCAAAAATTGAAGAAGATGTCATCATACTGCAGTTTGGGAGCTTTGAACCAGTTGAAGTTTCCACCTGGAAGAAAACAACAAACACATCCAAGGTAGATGACTTCTCCAATAAAAAGAATGACGATACTTGGATTTTGGTCTCTCGCAAAAGGCAAAAACATCAAGGGACTTCTAAACTCCGGCTTTCAAAAGTCGACACAAAAGCAAGTACAAATCAACTTCAACAATGCGAAAGCATAAAATCCAACACCAAATCGAAGTACATTAATGCTTCATCACAAAGGGTTAGAAGGACAATTACATTGATGGAATTCTTCCCTGAAATGCTCCTCGATGCACGAGCCTAAACTGCAAGTTGAAATGCTCCTCAACGTACGAGCCGAAACTGCATGTTACAACGCTCCTTAAGGTACGAGTATAAACTACATGTTACTCCTGGCCCGCAAGAGTATAAACTGTGTACGGTCCAAAAAAGAAACTCATCATCCTGAACCACGATATGACGTGATCCTCTTCACCGAGGTACGTAGGCGCTTGGAGTAATCACTCTAAGCTCAGTCACATGAGTAAAAAAAAAGAGGAGTGGTGGCATTGCGTGATCATCACACTTGCTCTTTAAAATTATGTAGCTAGCACATGAGTTCAAATGCGTCACAAATGAGCAAAGGAGAAGAGTTAAGCAAGACATCTTAGCTGACTTCAAAGGCGCATTTGTAAAAATCCGCAAAGTTTTTGACCATGACTTTCACATATATTGCAGTTCTTGGAGTCTACTTCACAACGTAAAAATCGGGTCGTGATTCAGAGGTTTCTACGCCAAGTTATGAAGTTTCTACCACGACCGGACAAACGAAATAGACCATCAGATTTCGAAATTAAACTGAGCAGACTTCAAACACATATTTGTGAAAATACGTAAAGGTTTTGGCTGTGATTTTTACGGATGTTGTATGTCTAGGAGTTATTCTTCCAATGAAACAAGAATCGCATCATTTCGAGGCTCCTACGCTGAGTTATTGATTTTCTCCCAGAGTTACTCGAAGCTGAAGAGTGGAGCGAGGCAGAATTTGAGCTAACTTTGAAAATATATATGTACTAATCTGGAATTCTTTTGGCCGTGATTTTTACATATATTGTACGTCTATGAATTATGCTTCCAATTAAACAAGAATCGCGTCATTTCGAGGCTCCTACAAAGAGTTATTGATTTTCTCCCAAAGTTGCTCAAAGCTGAAGAGTTGAGCGAGGCAGAATCGTGAGTTGACTTTGAAGCGATATCTGTACCAATCCACAAAGTCTTTCCATGATTTTTATACATTGTGTAGTTCTTTGAGTTGTCTTTGCAACGGGAAAAAGAAAATCATGAATTCAATATTCCTACTTTGAGTTATGAATTTTATACTACAGACGTGCGAAGCTGAAAAGCCGAGAAATACAAAATTGTGACCTGACTTTGAAGCGATATTGGTACTAATACATATAGTCATTGGCCGTGATTTTTACATATACTGTAGTTATTTGAGTTTTTTCCAATGGAACAAGAAGCACATGATTTCACTATTCACACTCCAAGTTATGAATTTTCTACCATAATCGTGCAAAGCTGCGAAAGAGATATCAAAA